GGCGCTTCACCATCCTCCTTCCGCAAAAAAAATCACCTGCGCAGGGACGTAGCAACAGGTCGTGTAAGTCGTGCCGCGCACAAGGGCCCAGGCAGAAAATCAAAAAAAAAAATCAAAAATCAAAATCAATTTTACGCCGCCCAAGCAATATTCACTTTGGCAATTTTAAATTGAAACAGAAAACTGTAATATCGATCTCTATAGATCTTTTTAGTCAGTCCTCCGACTCCTAGTACTCGGTACTCGTGTCAATATTGTCAATCTCAGTCGTGTATTAGCTCTCAAAAATGTCTAGTTTGCGGATCCATTTCAGTCCTGAAATGCTTCATTTTCCGTCTCGTCCCTAAAAGTCGTTAGAGCAATCAGAAAAAAAATTTAACTGGCGCTATTACCAAAACAATGCCAATGCGTAATCAGTTTTAAATTTTTAATATCACATTTTTGTCAACAGAAATCAATTTTTGGAGTTTTTCAGACTCATCAAAAATAGTATATTGCGTGAGGAGTACGGAAAGTACTGTTTTTTTGGACGAGTAGACAAGATTTCAGTCTGCGAGTCCGAAAAAACACTTCCCGGGGGTATTACGTCGTATACTTTTTTTTCGGCCGGAAAGAATATACTTTCCAGACTATAAGTAATCACATACCGACCTAGGTTTAAAAAGCCATACTGTCTTAAGTAAAACGCGTTCGGAAAGTATGTACTTTCAGAATGGTTGCTGAAAAACCTCATTTTAGGTACTTGTTACAAAAATTGCTATCGTCTGTTAACCCTCCAACAATTTCTAGCCTACGAATTTGCCATGCGCCATTTTGCTCATAACCCACCCCCCATCCCGTCAATGAATTTGAAAATTTGAACCTTCCGATGCCCAAGGAGAAGGGGACCCGCTGTGCTCTAGTCTTGCACCAGGGCCCGCTTTTGACTTGCTACGTCCCTGCACCTGCGACGCAATTTTTTTTTCTTTCTAGGCTGCCTCCCTTAAAATAAAAGTCAGGTGCCGCCACTGATTAACCCCCTTTCGCTTCACCCCCAAATCATAATTTCTGGGGCGCCAATTTTTGCCCAGAATGGCCGAAGAGCTAGAGCGGGCCTTGCGTGTTTAATATCTCTTCTTTGTAATGTGTACTGCAATTCTGCATCGATGAATTCTAATCCGCTGTCTGTTTATAATTTCTTCACTCTTTTTTGTATTTGGTTTTCAATCATTATTAGAAATTTTTCTATTTCTTTTGTTGTATCTGACTTATTTTGTGAGAAGTAAACCAGTCTGTAGTTTATAGTCATCCTAGTGAAATAGATTCGAAAGGACCACAAAGATCTAGGTGGACCAATTCACCTATTTTAGTTGCTCAAGAATCACTGATCTCGAAAGGTAACTTATGTTGTTTACCTGCTAAGCATGCATCACAAAAATGATTTTCCATTTCATTAAATGGAATGGCATTATTCCTTAAAACCTTTCGTACTTGATTAAAATTAAAATTAATATCAGCCATTTTATAATGCCAAACTACAAAATCTTCTGCCACATTACAGTGTGGCATTTCTGTATTACCTCCATATTGTTCAAATTAAAACCCATTTTAAAGAGCTAACCTTATCTAACTGCTTCTGCTCTTACACGTCCATTTTTGTCAACAATTTTGCATTTTTCTTTGTTCGATTCCATGAACAACCCTTTGTCCAATACTCTTAACACAGAGAACAAATTCACTTTCAGTTTAGGCACTTACAGTACTTTATTAAGTTCAGTTTTTAGCCACTGTTTACCATTCCACGCATGTAGATTCATTTTTCCGATCCCCATCACTTCAATAAATGTCCAATCTCCAATCTTCACTTTCTTATTGTTTTCTGATTTTTCAAGATGCACGAACTGAGGTAAGTCTTGACACATGTGATCACTAGCTCCACTGTCCATGCACATATTTGACTCCCTGATTATTGTCAAAGCCTCTGATGTATTTGCTATTTCCAGCATCCCTACAAGAGCATTGGAAGGTCCTCCTCCTGTTCCTGTACTTTCATTTTTCTGCTTTCAACCTTTTTTTGTGAACTAAGCAGTTTTTCTTTAGGTGTACGTTTCGTACATAAAAAAAACATTTCATTTCACTAGTGGCTGTCAGTGCTTTAAAACTTGCAGCTAAGGCATCTGTTTTTGTCCTCTTGATTTAATCTTTTTTCCTCTATAAGCAGCCTTGAAGTTAACTCTGACAAAGTTTGTCTGTCCGAAGGTGTGGATTCCCAAGCGGACACCAAATGTTTTACATCAGCACTTATGTCATGAGAATTTTGTCACTTAATTCCTCTCCAAGATGTTTTAACTGCCACTTTATATCTTCAAGCTGCGATACAAAGTCTACTACACTATACTATTCTTGAACTCGAGATAAAAAAATTTTTGCTGTAACAAATGCACACTTACTACTGACGGATGCTCATAAATTGATTTCAATTTTTCCCACATTTCTGCGGCAGTACTGCATGTCATCACATGATTCATTAGTTTTTCATCTAACCTTTGAATAATCACTTCTTGAGCCTTTGCGTCCTTTAAAGATCGATTCACACATAGCAGTGACGTGACAGTGCCGTGACTGGCACGTGATTTCACCGGCGAAGTCAAAATTATTCTCGTAGGAATTTGATGGCACCTATTCTCATCTACCCGACGCGCGACCGTGACAGTGCAAACAGTGCTGTCGCCGACACCGTAACGTGATCGTTATATTAGTTCCTGACGATATTTTTGGATTTTCACGGCCGTACAAATTGAGTTGGTCCGTGGTTATCCCGTTTTGTACGACCTGTGCCACTCAAAATACATGGACTCTGATTTCAAGAATGCAATTTGGAGGGTGTCATGCTTTTTCAAATTAACTCCTATCTTGCACAACATTGGTTTGAACAAATTTGTTGTTCTTCCATTTCTCCGTCCAAAACCAGTGCGATCTGCAAAAGTTCTTCATCTGAAAATATTTCCATCTGGCTATTAACTATACTGACACGACACTGATGAAACATTGACCAATATGAATAGAAATCACTGTGAGTTTACGGCCGGTGAAATCACGTGCCGGTGATGGCATTGTCACGTCACTGCTATGTGTGAATCGACCTTAATTCGTCTCACTTCTCAGAGTTGGTCTGGCTGCACTTGGAATTTGCAGCTGTTCCAATTTTCTCCAGTAAACTTTACCACTGCTGTTGCTTGGTCAATTTTTGACATTTTTTTTTAACAGTCGTGTTTTTCCTTGATACCCACACACCTGCTGACTGACACTTGACAACTGACTTACGACCAAAAATCACTACCATCTTTTAGTGTTAGGCCTTTTCTTTTACAAAACCAATGACGCTGAAATCTAACATGGCTTGGAGTGTGCTAGCGTGGCGTTCGAGAGTTTTCAACAATAACGACACATTAGCGCTGAGACCAAACCTTGTGTCTTCAATGCAGTTGTAAAACCAACACTTACATAATACATATGGCTGCGAAACATGGACAAACTACAGAAGAAGCCTAAAGTAATACCACCAGCGATGTCTAAGAAGGATCCTAGGGATTAAATGGCAACACCGACAAACGAACATCAGTGTTTTAGATAGAGGAAGCCAAAATAACTAGCATGGGAGCCCTCATCATTATGCACCAACTTCGTTGGACAGGTCACCTCGTCTGCATGTCTGAAACACGTCATCCACGATCTAGATTCAACTGAAAGAGGGAAAATGAAATCAAGGAGGCCAAAGTGCTGCATCGATACCAGGGCAGGAAGGAGCGAGAGAACACAGGAAGAGACAATGCTACCAGAGACTGGGTGTGCCGAGACTGTGGAAGAGTGTGCGGCTCCAGAATTGGTTTATATAGCCATCAAAAAACGCATAATCAACAAAAATAGGTTTAGAATAGAGGATAATCATAGTCGGTCGGTATCGAGTGATCGCCTATGATTATGAAGAACTCTCTCTAGTGCAGTCCCAAAATAGTCTGATATAAATCAAGAATCCCGAAGATTAAGTTTAAGAAATTTTTTGGGAGATCAGATTATTCCACGGACAACCAAGTGATAATAACGTGAAACTTCTCAAGAAAGACGAATTCCTGTGCAATGCAACATACAGAAATGAGCAGCAATGTTGCTGCACAGAGGTACCATTTCAGTTGCTACCTATTAAGCCTCTAGAACTTTTCAAGTTTTTGCTAGTATATAAAACAAGACCTGGCAGCATGATTATTTTGCACAAAAAATACACTTCAATAATTAATTTTCCTGAGAGTTTTGCAGCTTATCATTTTTTGAACATCTAGTATTCGCGTGTCTCAGCAGGAAAATGAATAAATGCGGAATATCTAAAAAATCTTTTGAAATGAAAGCCATCAAACACCCGGCAATGATAATATCCCGTGGACACAAACCCACTGTCAAGAACACTTGGTTTTACCTTCACAATCATGAAGCTCAGTATTCTGGTGTCATCATTAACTTCGAAATCAGAATTGCTTTGCTGTTCCAACAGTCTGACTCAATATGTTTTTCAGCTAATACAACTATTTTAATATAGGGATTTATGTCCTTTGGACAAGTGACTTCATGCTTAGGAAGTAGAAGTGTTATGAGATTCAGTTTAACGCTTTTCAGCATCCTTCCTCGTAGGGTAAATCAAAATCATTCCCTATGAAAACAAATAAAGAAAAGGAGCTGAGTTAGTTATTGCTAAAAAGAGACTCTTGAATTCAATATCTAGTTCGAGCGAAATTTCCAAACCTTTAGATCCTGGAGTAATTTTTAAATGTCAGTGTGTCATGCATTGTATGATCGACTGTTCTTCTGAAATCATTGTTAGTTAAACACTATAGTTGCTGACATTTTCTGCTCTTGTATGCTAAGTGATGTGAAAAACATGGACAGTTGAGAGTTTTCAACATTCTATATTGGTAGACCAAACCATAAAATTTTCTTCTTGTTTTATTAATATCTTTTCCTTCTTGTAGTTCACCACGTTCAAAATGCCTTCTTCACCCACCAACACGTAACGAAATCCTCTCCAACTACACCGCAATGCTTCCAGGAGATTCATTTGCAGTTGACAGACAATGTGAGCTTGAATTTGGTCACGGATATAGTCGCTGTACTATGGTTTTAGATGAAGTAAGTAGCAATATCTGAGATTTCAAAAATGAATGTAAAAATGTAATTTTTAGCCTCCATGTGTACATCTCTGGTGCAAACAACCCACAGGAGGATGCATCACCCAGTGGTCACCCTGGGCTGAAGGAACCAAGTGCGGTAGATACAGGTACAATTGTGAGCCATTATGATATGAAGCTTTTTTAGGATTTTCTTTTTGCTAAGTTGAAAGTGGTGTCAAATTTTCACATAAAATTTATGATAAACCTACTTACTCTTTGGAAGCTACCAGAAACTGCTCTTACACTGCTCGAATCCCTAATTAATTTTTTTTCTAGTTGGTGTTACAAGAGAGAATGTACAGCCCAAGATCGTCGTCAATTTATGCCCATTGACGGTGGCTGGGGAGAATGGCAACCGTAAGTAAACTATTATAATTAATTTTCAAACTAATATTTACATTAAAAAATTTAGATGGGGATCGTGCAGCAGAACTTGTGGAGGAGGCATAAAAAAATCCATAAGACATTGCGACTCTCCTACACCTGAAAACGGAGGCAATTATTGCACAGGAAAAAGCGTACAATATATGTCGTGTAATACACAGGATTGTGATGAAAGTGTTAAGGATTTTAGAGCAATACAATGTGCTGAGTTTAATGGATACACTAAAGGTTTGCCCAATCTTTCAGAAGATGTCCAATGGTTGCCCAAATATGGAATAAGTAAGGTTAATAATTTATAAAATTTCCAATATACAAAAACGATCTTTTAGTTTCTCCAGGCCGTCTCGATAATTCCTGCAGGCTATACTGCAAACCTCAACATTCCGAAGCCTATTACGCCTTAAAAGACAAAGTTCTTGATGGTACCAAGTGTGGAATATCAGGATTTGACATTTGCGTTAACGGCATGTGCAGACCTGGTGGATGTGATAATATTTTAGATTCAAAAGCCCACCTGGATGAGTGTGGAGTTTGTGGTGGAGACAATAGCCGTTGTCAGGAAATATCTGGAACTTATAACAAAACAGCAGATCAAGTTAGCTATAATAGAGTAGTGCGCATTCCCAAAGGAAGTTCCAACGTTAAAGTAACTCAGCATAGTTCTGGGGCCGATGAAAATTATCTTGGTAAGATTTTTGTGAGGCTTCAAAATCATATATTTTTAACCATTTCTTATAGCTCTCAAAGATGGTGAAACTGGAACCTACATCCTCAACGGTAATCAAATGCTGATGACGCAAGAGATGGAAGTAGAATACGGTCCTGTTGTTATCAAATACAGTGGCAGCAGTGCTCAAACTGAATGGATTTCGACGGAAAAGGCTAAAAAGCTGCACAAAGACTTGGTGGTAGAGGTTCTGTCCATTAAGAACTTAACGCCTCCTGATATAATTTATCGTTACGTCATCAGTAAAGATGCTGCACCTAGGTAAGTAGGTTGCAACTGCAATTTGTAAAGAAATTATTGCCTGACTTGAAAGCCTGTTTCCTTCAATTGAGCTCGATTTTAAAATGCCTGTTTTCATCCCTTATATTAGGTTCTCGAGATACCAAACCTTCTTCGGCCCTGAAAAAAGGTATTTGCCCCAGCGTAAAAGCTTTCGATGTACACCTACCAAATTCAATTATTTAATTGAGATACCCAACCAAATGACACGAGAAATTTTAAATACTTCACAAATTTCAATAAAATTAAATTCTGCAGCACAAAAAGGTTTACTCCCGAATACTTAAGTTGGTAGCAAAAAATCAACCCACTTTTTTTTTGGGGAAATACGTATCTCCCAAAGTCCTTTTCACAGCGCCTTCACAGTTTTCTATACTTTAGTTAGGAGAATAAAAAATTTAAATCACACATGAAAATCGCACATATGTTTTCAATTTAGCTCGAAACAAATAATTGCACAGACTATAGTTTTATTGCATGTTGCATGTTATATGTGTTATTTCACTCAAAAAATAATAAATAATAATTAACAGCACAAATTCACAAACTGCATATTTTCAATTAACTAGAATTATCTGATTATTTGATGTATTAAAACATGTACCTAATAAGAAATTGTTCATTACAGTGAACACAAACTATGTTAAGTAACTAAATATTGCAATAAAATAACGAAGAATTGAAACCAATATTGAATTTCAATATGTATTCTGGCTCTAATTCTTCTGAATTATGATTACTACTCACCGCATAAATAATAGCATGTCCTCTAACAACTAACTAGATTTCCGCACACCACCACAGTGTGTCGCCTTATTACAGGTACGGTTGGAAGCTCTATAAGAAGGGCTGGTCCAGGTGCAGCTCTATCTGCGAGGGCATACAGTACAGGAAACCGACCTGCGTAGAACTAGTCAACGGAAATGAAGTAGACGTGAGTTATTGTGACAGCAGTGATAGCGAAAGCGCTACAGAGAAGAAAGATTGTAATGATCATTGTAATTTGACTTGGCATATCGTTTCACGGAGTGCTTGTTCGCCGCATTGTGGAAAAGGGTAAATATTTTTATTCTTATATACTTTAATCTACATGATTTGATATTTCAGCTATCGTCAAGTTTACTATAAATGTATGAAACTCTACAAAAACAAGCAGCTCCAGAATAGTAACATTGAAGAGGTAGATAATCAACATTGTAATGTGCTAGCTAAGCCTCCAGACAATGAAAACTGTTACACTTCTTGTAATACGACTAGATGGGACTATTCTATTTGGTCAGAAGTATGTTTTAGACTAAACTTTGCAGCCAATTCATTAACCAACTTCCTTTTAGTGTTCCAAAACTTGTGGAGGTGGTACCCAAAGAAGATCAGCCAAGTGTGTTGACGAAAATAACATTCCAATTGACGATTCTCATTGTAGCAATACTGAAAAAATTATAGAGCAAATTTGTAACACCGAACAATGTCCTGATTGGCTTATTGCGGATACTTCTTCAGTAAGTTAAATTATAAACTAATCTATGAAAAGGATTGTTCAATTTATTTTTCAGTGCTCAGTTCCTTGTGGCGGAGGTTATCAAAACATTACCTCCTACTGTGTTCTTAACGGTCGAATCTACGATCCGTCTAACTGTGATTCAAGAACAAAACCTGCCAGCACGAAAAACTGTAATGAGTATGCTTGTGGACGTTGGGCTGCCACTGATGGCTTCCAACCTTGTTCTGTTACTTGTGGTGAGGGAGTAGAAAGAAAACAGTAAGAATTTTAATTTCAAGACACTAGTTGTCTTCAAATGGCTTTTTTTTAGGTATGTGTGTAAAAAATTTGATAGTGAAGAAGTTTTGGATCTGGAATATTGTAGAAGCATTAGAAAGCCTAGGGAAGAGAGCAGAAAATGCTTTAAAGAATGTGATGTATGTAGAAGCCAACCCGGAAAAAAAAACACATAAATACATGACTAATTTTTTACAGCGTATGATTCCTTATTCCCCATATGACAAACAACGTTACAACTACAATGTGGACGGTGACAACAACATTTACGAACCCCTGTACGACAGATACAGAACCTTCCATTGGATACCAGGAGAATGGACTGCTTGTTCTCAAACATGCGACGAAGGTACCAGTACCCAAACATTCCATTGTCGTAACGATCTAGGAGACGAAAACCCTCAGATGTGCAACCTCCACCAAAAACCTCATAACGTGATTAGGTGTAACGATAAAGCTTGCCCCCAATGGAAAGTTGGTAATTGGAGCCCTAGCTGTGATTCAAAGTGCGAGAAGCACAGGCAGGTGCGGTGTATAGACGAGAGCAGTGAGTTTGATTTTTGACTATTAGTTGTGTAGAAAATTTTATATGTATGATTCTAGTGACTGCATTTGATAGCAAAGACTGTGACCTCAAAAAAAAGCCCCAGGACTCTGCGAAATGTCGATTAGCTGAATGTCCACACGCCACTGGCATTTCTAGAAACTATTTTGATACCAAGGAGAATCAGGACAAGAGATATAGATGGAAGGTTGGACCTTGGAAACAGGTACTAGCTTGATTTAAAAAAAAGCATGAGCTTTAGTTAAGAAATGCTAAAATTGCAAATAGGATATTATACTTATTCACATCACACTCACTTAAGTATCACATTAATTGTCTCACTCATATGATTAGGCAAACAAGCAAATCGTAGTCTTCCTCTCACTCATCACTATCACTTTTTTCTCTATGTGAATATAGTGCTCAACTAACTGCGGCAAAGGCACTCGTAGACGAGTAATCGAGTGCGAGGACTCACTCAACGACATCGTAGTAGTAGATTCGCTTTGCAACAAACACAAACAGAAACCCAAAGAGTCCAAGCCGTGCGAACGGTACCAGTGCAGGTACGCTTGGATCGAAGGACCTTGGGAATCTGTAAGTCTTTTATTAATTAGCTCGGCATCTAATTTTGGTAATTTTTAAATGTAAACTTTTGAAAATCATATCCAAAATTTTGTAGTGTTCGGTTTCTTGTGGACAAGGGGTGAAATCGAGGAATGTCACTTGTCATAAAATCCATCAGGGTGGTATGGTGGATCCTACTCCGTTGCCAGAAAGGCACCACAGAATAATTCATAAGAACTATTGTAGATTAGCAACTAAACCTCTTTCGGCAAGCAAATGTTTAGTTAGTAACTGTGGGGATGAATACATGTGGCAAGCTGAGGAATGGAAACCAGTAAGTAGACGGGCTTTTCGACTCATGTTGTTTTCTTAATTTTTGTTTTTTAGTGTTCACAACCATGTGGTAAAAAAGGAAGACAAATCAGAGTATTAAACTGCATCAGTGTTAGAGAAAGAAATAAAGTGCCTAAGCACTTCTGTCCGAAAAATCTAAGGCCAGTAAGGAAACGTAAATGCAACCAATGGATGTGTAAGTGCCCACTAAATTTTTTTTATGAAACCAAAATATATATAATTTTTTCCTACATTAAGGCTTATACAAAAGCTGCAGAGATATTCAGCACTACATGAGAACTAAGGAGAATAAAGATTATATGGTTTCGCTTCGAGGAAGACCGGTTAATGTATATTGCTACAAAATGGATACAGCCGAACCTCAGGAGTATATTAGTTTGCATCCTGACAAGGAGAATTATGCTGAGATTTATGATAGAAGGTAATGTTTCCAATATTTATTTTACATTATTATTTGCTATTTGGTACGATATACCTAACAAGTAGGTACAATCCTCTATGCTGGCAAGGTTGAATAATAATGTGTGTACGTAGAATCCAAATATGCAATCACATACAGAATGTCCCACTTAAAAAAATCTACTTTTATATCGTCACGCCTAATTGAGCCACCCTGTATGCTCAAAATTATATTAATACAATACAATACTTATATTATCTAACTTATGTATATCCTATTCACAATCCGATGTCCACAGGTGCAGGTAAATTTATCACCCTTCCCTATCAAATAGCATTGACAGGTGATAAATTTTACCTGTACCTGTGGACATCGGATTGTGAATGGATAATACATGATTGTATTACTTTAAGCAATTTGTTATATTTCTTTCAATTTGGTGTGTGATATCTACCAATGATACCAGATTAATAGATACCGTGCTTGTCTATCAAGTTAATAAATACAATAATAGCTATTTATGTACCAAGGGGATTATGTAGATTATAATGCCCGAAGGCGAAACTGGCCCGAGGGATATATTTCACATGAAGGGCATTATAATCTTAAAAGCTCCGTGGTGCATACAATGCTTTATTTTCTACTCAACACAATGTTCTTTCATTAATTTACTATTAACAAAATCAGTTAAATTTGTGTGACAGAATATTGTTTTGTATTTTGACATGTAGCTGTACCTGTGACCTGTACCTAGAAACGAAATAAATTAATATATCTATAAATATCTCATAAGGCAAGGCAACGGTGGTGGTCGTATGGGTTAACGCGCTGGACTACATGGAAAACGTTGATGGTAGACCGGGTTCGACTGGCTAGACCGAAAATTATTTTCGGTCAGACATTTAGTGGCTGTCTAGGGTAAAGTGCAAATTAATAAATCTACAACAACAAAAACACCTCAGGGTATTATAAGCGGGCGTTGTAGATCATAATGCCCGCAAAAGCGGGCGTTATGGATCAGGTTGTTATAGGTATGTTAACGTATTTCGTTTCCTAGGTATTATGGATCTATAATAGTTAAGTAGAAAATAAAATTATTTTCGGTCGGACATTTAATGGCTGCCTAGTGCCTAGGGTAAGGTGCAAATTAATAAAACAACAGCAACCAAAATACCTCATGGTATTATAAGCGGGCGTTATGGATTATAACGCCCGCTGGGCTTATAATGCCCTCAGGTTGTTATAGGTATGTTAACGTATTTCGTTTCCTTGATATTATGGATCTATAATAGTTAAGTAGAAAATAAATTGTTTTATCCAACACCTGCTAGTTATAAGAGTCATTATTTGTGCCAATATAGACAGGTAAACTATCAAATAAATCATAACCCACTAGTGGGAGTGGATTATGGTTTATAACTCACTCTCCTATAACGTCAACCCAAACGGCAGGAAACAATATGTAGTTTAAGATAATTCTTAGGGAAGTCGAGTACACGGAAAGAATGGGGATATTTAGTGTTTCTTTTTTATTTTTTTTTCTAATTCTAGAACACAAACTAAGTCTAATAGCGCTATTTTGGGGAACATTTAAGTTGTCGTTAATTTTTAATAAAAAATATAAATTCAGCAGTATTTCAAACGCCGCAGAAAACCCGCCGAATATGACGTTAGTCCCTACAACTAGCAAAAATATACTGCAAATAAGTACGTTGTCAGATTGTCGTTGTCATTGTTGATTTCCAAGATTGCCTCTAGAAACCTCGTTCTTATCCTTGTATTATATAGTTTTTTTTTTGTATATTTTGGACTACAGTTATAAAATTAATGTAATTTTTTAATTGTAAGTGGGTTTAGTTGTAGAACAACAGTTTTTCTGGTGTTGAAAAAGGATTTATGCCACGTCATGTTAGTATTAAGGAATCACGACACTCAGTTTGGCAACGTTGCACTGTCTAACTGTCAAGAGGTTTGACCGCGTTAAACGAACAAGATGCAAATAACGAATGAGGAGTTTCATCATTGTCACTCTTCAGAACTTAGACAAGGAAAGCATATAAGATATGCGCCAGAGCTATTGTGAACGATTCTCATTGGTCGGAAAGTGTATATACGTCATACAATGGCGCCATTCCAGCACGTTTAAATATGTGGGATGAAAACAGCATTTTCGAAAATTATTTTAAACAAAATTAGGACATTTTAAACCCAACTGGGAGCAAGGGTATTTTTATTTTGGTTAATACAACTGATTAAAAATAATAAAACAATGAAATTCAAATATGGTGAATGTCCCCATTAAACGAGAACCGATGGAGAAAACTGATTACTGTATATTGGTCTTGTATTAACAGAGAAAACGGAATGAAATTTGCGTTATTGCACTATAAACGTTGACATCTCGTTGTTGACAGGCCGTGTAGCAGGTTGATTAATACCGGGGACCAGCCGATCAGTGGCGTGGGGATTAGGGAATTTTGTTACAATCTCCCCCTGTGGTCCACACAATCGTCCCTAGTGTGACGCACATCAGAAGTTGGTGTCGATGGTGCTGGTTTCTTGCGTGGGCGACGTCGCTTTCTGATAGGTCGCGTAGGCGCAGGCAGATCCTCTTCTTCAGATGCGCGATATGGATAGATTGCAGAGGTGTTATATTTACCGACAACCGTTTCCGGCGTGCTAGGTAAAGCAACCTCGTAAGTAGTAGGCGTAACTACTTTCGTAATTATGTAAGGCCCGTCACATCGGGGCGCGAACTTGGACGTCTAAGTGTTACTGGCGATACTTAGTACGTGCGAGTTAACAAGAACTTTGTCGCCGACCGAAAGAGAAATGTCGCGACACTTGTTATCGTGATACTTATTACGAATATCTTGGGTTTGTTCGTGTACGTCGCGAGCTTTGCATAGAGTGTCACTCATATTTAGTAGGTAGGGTGTGATTTGCGATACGAAGTTCGCGTTTTCGACAATAGCCCGGAAATCACAATTGGCATCATCTGGGAAGCGCAACTCGCGACTGAATGTTAAGTAGGCCGGGGTGAATCCGGTGAAACAAATCGAATAGCCGAAAATTTAGATGACCACACGGTATGATCTTTGTTTGAGAAGATGGCCAACTGGGTCTTTAAGTCCAAGTTCTTCCGTTCCACAGGGTTTGCAGCTGGGTGATAGACTGGTATCAGGTTCTGAAGAAATCCAAGGCATTCTGCTATGTGCTGCATAACAGAACTGACGAACTGAGTACCGTTGTCACTAATGACACGACGAGGCACTTCGTAGCGCAGGATGACTTCATCAATTAGACAATTAGCACATGCTTGTGCCGTGGCTGTCTTAAGAGGGAAAAGCTCAGTCCATCTACTAGCTGTGTCTTCGATTGCAAACACCCATGTAAATCCTTCTTGCTTCTTGGCTAGCAGGCAAAGGGCCAAATAAGTCAATAGCTATGACTTCAAATCGTTGGTTCTACGTGGGGGTTTGCATTGGTCCAGCAGGCTTAAGGTGGGACACCTTGTACTTTTGGCACTGGATGCACCTGCTCACGTAATCTATGATTTCTTTTCTCATACCAGCCCAGAAATATCGGAATGCCATGCGCTGGTACGTTTTCTCACTTCCATAGTGGCCCGCAGTCTCGGAATCGTGGTACTGGGTGAGCACGTGTGGGATCCTCGTCTTTGCCACCACTAGTTGAGGTTCTTCTTCGGCTTCATCCGTGTATCGATACAGAACACCGTTATCTTATATATATAAAAATCAATGTTCGAGGGGTATCCGATTATGCGCTCCTACACCACTTATCCGATTACGATGAAACTTTGGTAGGTTGTTATGGCCATCCCAAGGAAGGCTTGTGGATAGGTTACGCATCTCGGAAAAAGAAATTAATTTTGAATTGATTATTAATTTAATTGTAAACAAACTCATTCACATTACATAACAACATAACCCAACTTTTTTTTGATAACATGAAACGACGTTGCCATATTTCATTTATTTAGGCTTGCCATTCAACATTCAACCAACGTAACTTTATTATTTTTTGAATTCGAGAACGGCTGGACCGATCTTGAATTTAATACCACGTATCTCTATATAAGCTGAATTCGATTGACCCAGATTAGATCGATTTGGGTTCAATTTAAGTGAACTTCTTCTGATCTAGATCATTTTTTTGTTGATGAGGGTGCACTGATCCTGCCTCAATCGAACACAGTGTGGTTCACTTAAATTGAACCAGATAGATCTAATCCGGTCAATCGAATTCGGCTATACAGTGAGGGGCAAGCTACTAGGTATATAGGATGTAACCTGACGAATTTGCAGGCGTCCGCATGTCAGAAAATGACAAATCGATTTAGCGCTAACCTGGCGACAACCAAGTAAAAAGTTTCTAGGGTTGTTAATAATTTTCAAAAATACGGTTGTGTTTCTCCCTGAAACCAAACGAAATGACGTCCCGGAAAATAATGAGGATCAAGAAGCCAAATAAATTATGTTGTTGGTTGTTGGCAATAGTTAACAAAACTTCAACTATTTCGACTCGTGCGCTTGCGCAGGATATTGACTCGAGTACAAGGACGGTTAGGAGCCACAGAAAAAAAAAAGTATCGTTCGTACAAAGTAAGAAACTCCCAAAAAATTGATCCTGAGGACAACATCAGGCGAATGGATTTTTGTGAAACTGTCATTAATAAGGCAAATGAAAATCAAGATTTTCTTAGAAAAATTGTCTTTACAGATGAGTCGACATTTCAACTCCATGGTCGACATAATCCTAGTCACACCCGTTATTGGTCTAAGGAGAATTTACACAGGTATTTTGAGCTTAGAGCCCAGCGTCGTCAAAAGGTAACTGTCTGGAGCGGTTTGTGTGGATAACATATTATTGGGCCGTACTTCATGGACGCTAACTTAACTGGTCCAAAATATTTGGATCTTTTGCAACGGGCCAACGGCAGATAATTCCAGAAATTGAAAGATTATCTGGTCCTATAGATTTAATGAAATATGGTATCA